CACACGCTATGTCACAACCCGGGATCCCCACAGCCGGCCCGCCTTTCCTCGGAGCCGAGGGTCAATAATCCATCCACTTACGCGGGTGAGCCAACACAGTGCCATGCTTTTCTCACCCAATGTGAGGTTGTGTTTACCCTGCAGCCCTATAAGTATGCTGAGGATCGAGCCCGTGTCGCATACGTCATCTCCCTCCTGTCGGGCAGAGCGAGGGAATGGGGAACCTCTTTGTGGGAAGCCGAGTCGGAGATTTGTCTTCACTTTGACGCCTTTAAAGAAGAGATGCTGAAGGTCTTCGATCGTTCGGTTCATGGTCGGGAAGCATCACGTCTTCTATCCACTCTCCGCCAGGGTCACCGCCCCGTAACCAATTATGTGATTGAGTTTCGCACCCTCTCCACTACTTGCAGGTGGAACGAAGCCGCCCTTTCTGCTTGCTTCCTGGATGGGTTGATCGCCCTGTTAAAGGATGAACTCTACGCTCACGATCTTCCCGCCGACCTGGACTCTCTGATTGAGCTCTCCATCCGGATGGACAAGCGCCTGGCGATGCGTAGACGTGCTCGCTCTCCACACACTGACGTCGGAGGGGTTTCCCCAGCGCAGGACTCCAAACCTCTCGAGAGGCGCGCTTCCTCCTAAGTTCCCATAGAGGTGGGAGGGGTTCACCTGCAGTATTGATCTCCTCCCAGGTACCACTCCTCCTTGGGGGCGTCTCTTCACCTTATCCGCACCCGAGAGAGAGGTGCTCGATAAATATTTATCCGAGTCTCTAGCCGCTGGTTCTATAGTTCCGTCATCCTCTCAAGCCAGTGCTGGTTTCTTTTTTGCCAAAAAGAAAGATGGTTCTTTACACCCATGCATTGACTACCGCGGACTTAATGAGATCACTGTTAAGAACAAGTACCCATTACCGCTTATGTCGACTGCCTTCGATATCCTCCAAGGGGCTCGCATTTTCACCAAATTAGATTTGCGCAATGCTTATCACCTTGTGCGAATAAAGGCTGGAGATGAGTGGAAATCGGCGTTTAATACACCCTTCGGTCACTTTGAATACCGGGTTCTTCCCTTCGGGCTGGTAAACGCTCCCGCTGTATTTCAGGCACTCATAAATGACGTACTTCGCGATATGCTCAATATTTTTGTCTTCGTCTATTTAGATGACATCCTCATTTTTTTGCCAGATTTACCTGCTCACATCCAGCATGTACGCCGTGTGCTCCAACGTCTGTTGGAAAACCGTCTTTTCGTCAAGTCAGAAAAGTGTGATTTTCATACTCGCTCTGTCCCATTTCTCGGGTATATAATCTCGGATAAGGGCGTTAGTATGGACCCCGCTAAGCTTCGCGGCGTTACCGATTGGCCCATTCCTGAGTCTCGCGTCGCTCTCCAGCGTTTCTTGGGATTTTCCAACTTTTATCGTCGCTTTATTCGGAACTTTAGCCAGATCGCTGAGCCCCTCACGGCGCTTACATCGACCAAATCTCGTTACGAATGGTTTGATTCTGCGCAACAGGCGTTCGACCGTCTCAAAAGGATATTCGCATCCGCCCCTATTCTCATCACCCCTGATCCCGAGCGACAATTCATAGTGGAGGTTGACGCCTCCGATGTAGGTGTAGGCACCGTACTTTTACTATGATGTCGGTAATCGCGAACTTCTCGCCATCCGTCTCGCGCTCTGAGAATGGCGTCACTGGCTTGAGGGTGCCTCTATCCCGTTTATTGTATGGACGGATCACCACAACCTCGAATATATTCGATCTGTGAAAAGGCTTAACGCACGTCAAGCTCGTTGGGCACTATTTTTCAATCGGTTCAATTTCACCATTTCTTATCGCCCGGGCACCAAGAATATCAAACCTGATGCACTCTCCCATCAATTTGCGGTTTTAGAGAATAAACCTCTCCCCGAACCCATCATACCTGCTGATATGGTCGTAGGAGCCGTATCCTGGGGTATCGAGAACTCTGTTAAAAGAGCGCTCACTCGCACCCAAGCTCCTCGTAACTGTCCATCGGGTAAGCTCTTTGTCACCAGACCTTTACGCGCTACTGTCCTCCGTTGGGGACACACTTCTAAATGAATGGTTCATCCAGGCATTAGGAGTACGTTAGCCGTCATCCGTCAACGTTTCTGGTGGCCAGCTATGATTCAAGACGTCCGACGCTTTGTCAAATCTTGCCACGTTTGTGCGCAGAACAAATCCAATAATTCCGCAACCACCGTATTATTGCGAACTCTCCCCATCCCGTCTCGCCCCTGGTCGCATATTGCGCTTGACTTCATAACGGGTCTTCCCCCGTCAAAAGGCAATACCGTTATTCTCACTGTCGTTGATCGCTTTTCTAAAGCGGCCCACTTTATCCAATCCAAACTCCCTTCCGCCCGTGAAACAGCGCAAGTTATTATTAACAACGTGTTCAGAATTCACGGGTTACCTGTTGATGTTCTATCCGACCGCGGTTCGCAATTCACATCACAATTCTGGAGAGAGTTTTGCAGACAGCTTGGGGCCTCTGTTAGTCTATCTTCAGGGTATCATCCCCAGACTAATGGCCAGACCGAAAGAGCTAATCAAGATCTAGGCCGAATACTTCGTTGTCTTGCCGCTCGTAACCCCTCTTTGGGGTGTGAACAATTGCCGTGGGCTGAGTACGCGCATAATTCGCTACCGTCCTCATCTACCGGTTTATCACCATTTTCTTGTTGTCTCGGTTATCAACCGCCTCTTTTCCCTACTAAGGAAATAGAGGCCGCTGTTCCTTCAGTTCAAGCGTTTATACAACGCTGTAGGCGCACTTGGGAGAGTACGGTGTCCGCGCTCCGCCGCTCCGGTGAACGTATTCGACGCTCTGCCAATCGCCGCCGCACTCGTGCCCCTCGTTACGTCTGTGGGCAAAAGAATTGGCTTTCCACTTGTAATCTTTCCCTTAAAGCCCCGTCTCCTAAATTGGTACCTCGCTTTATTGGTCCGTTCACTATCGATAAGATCATTAATCCAGCAGCTATCCGTCTTAAACTACCATCCTATTTGCAACGCATCCACCCGGTTTTTCATGTATCTTGTATCAAACCCGTTTTCCACTCTTCCTATAGTTCCCCTCCCTCCCCCTCTCCCCCTATTGTCATCGATAGTCCCCCTATTTACAAGGTAAGAAGGTTGCTTGATGTAAGGCGCCGGGGTCGTGGTCAGCAGTTTCTGGTCGATTGGCAGGGATATGGTCCTGAGGAGAGAAGCTGGGTACTGTCCCGGGACATACTGGACCGCTCGCTCATTGATGACTTTATTCGCTCTCGCCAGTCTTTCTCCTCTTGAGCGCCAGGAGGCGCTTCTTGAGAGGGGGAATACTGTCAGGGTTTTTTGTTACTTCTCTGTCTCCCTCTTGTGTATTGTCATTTGTATGCAGTTTCACCTGTTATCAATTCGCTTGTTTTCCCTTCCCCATTGCTCTTACCTGTTCTCCCTGATTATTTTAGCTATTTAGTCTCCCCCTCTCCCTCGTTCTGTGCTTGTTAATTGATTCTGTGTTCTAAGAGCTACGTGTGCAACTGGTTCTCTCTGTTCAAGATATCTACACATTTACTATCCGTCTCGTCTAGTCCTGTGTTGTTTAGTCTACCACTTATCATCCGTTTACCTGTGCTCTGGCTCACCTCTGCTCTGCCCACAGTCCACGATCGGGTGAGGTCTCATCTTCTCGGGCTCCCTGAGGTCTGTCTCTACTTTTCTACTGCTAACCCAAGAGGGTCTTTTGAGTTTGATCAGTCCTACAACGCCCAGAGGAGGGTCGATTTCTGACTGCCTGTGTTATTTCGGAGTGATTGTTTTCTTACTGCCCAGAAGAGCAAAATTGTTGATTTATTTCTGTTCAATAAATCCTTTGAACTTCTCCCTTGCGCCTGGGTCTCCATATTTCCTGACAAACAAGGAGCTAAATGAAGTGAGCACCTAATTAAAAAAGCCGGACTCATTTCATATCAGGTAAGTTCACACTACGCTAAATCAAACACATTACTCGTTTTTGATTGCAGCAATGATTTTAGTAAAAACAGTTAATTATTACTGCGGACATTGAATGCAAAGAATGAAAGGTGAAAGTGTAAGTTCACATACCCTGCCATACAGGTGCAGTTCGCTGTCAGAATGCAGTTGTTTTGCTTGTTGATGATTAATTACCCAGGACGTCTAGTACCGTCTTCTTTCCTTATCTTTGGGTAGGCAGAACCTCGGTTTTTAAAGCTACAAAGTTTTGAATCTGGTAATCATGGAACATTATTTCTTGCACATGACCACACAGAACAAAATCCTACAGACTTGTAGGCCTTTAACTTCTCTTTTGTATAATCTCTTGGAGTTTTATGCATTTCATGGATTTTTTCTGCAACCTCGCTGCGCACCCATTCTGAATGTTTACAAACATGGTAATTCGTCTATGAGTCCACAAAATGAAGCAAAAGGATTTGCCATTTAAACAGGAAAATTAGGGTTGCATTGGTCTGAAAATAGCAGCACATCACGACAAACACGTCTTGCGCCTTATTGTGCTGAGTGTATGATCGGGTGTATGATCGGGTTTTTGCATCTAAACTCTTCATATTATCCTCTACGTTCAACAAAATGAAGGAACTCATAAAGGTGTAAAACGACTAAAGGGTGAGTAAATAGTACATTTTCATTGTTGAGAGAACTTGACCTTCAAGCAGTAAAGTCCACAAACAGAAAGGGTATCAATGTGAAGTAATCTTCCACTAAGCAAAAGCACCAAACGCCAATGAGACTAAAACTCAAATAGGTAGTTGTTTAAAGCCAGCAGCAGACCAGTGAGCCGTCAAGATATGACCAATGGCTGAAATCTTAGGATGTGCAAAGCGCATGAACTCTGTGCTAAAGTGTACTGATTTACAGTAAAACAGTTCACACCACACAAAAAAGCATCATCCAGAGCCAAAGCCATGAAGAGTGCATTTCAGTGTGTAGGGTGCATGCGCTCACCTACATGCTGTCCACTGACACTGCTCTCACTGTCACAGTCCTCTGGAGGGTGGGTGAGTCAGGAGAATACAAGACATCAAAGGGTACAAGGAGAGGAGAATCAGTGGAGTGAGGGGATATATTCACATTACAAGGACATTTCATAGGTCAGAGTTATCGGGAAGGGCATACCACATAATATTTCAGCAAGCAATGAGCACATCATAATTACTGTAATTATTAATAATTATTTCAGCATCTCTACTGAGTATTAAGATGTTAACAGGTATTCTTGATGTAACTTTTTTTTTCTTTTTTTTTTTTTTGCAAGAACCAGCCATGTTTATAAGTTTGGTGAAAATAGCTGAAATACCAATTTTACATACACTCACCAGCCACTTTAGTAGGTACACCTGTCCAGCTGCTGATTAACGCAAATTTCTAATCAGCCAATTACATGGCAGCAACTTAATGCATTTAAGCATGTAGACATGGTCGAAACGAACTGCTGCAGTTCAAACCGAGCATCGGAATGAGGAAGAAAGGTGATTTAAGTGACTTTGAAGTTGATGCTAGAGGCTGATAGAAAGGCAACAGTAACTCAAATAACCACTCGTAAACCGAGGTATGCAAAAGAGAATCTCTGAACGCACAACACATCGAACCTTGAGGCGAATGGGCTACAGCATCAGAAGACCACACTGGGTGCCACACCAGTCAGCTCAGAGGCTATAATTCACACAGGCTCACCAAAATTAAATTTAACACTTTCTTTTACAACCCGCAAAGTACCGCGTAAGTACAGGTTTGTTCCCTTATACCTACACATACGTTCATTATACTTACACAGTACGTACAGAAAAGTACACTGTAATTTCACTGTACTTACGCGGTACTTTGCGGGTTGTAAAATAAAGTGTTACCAAATTAAACAATGGAAGATTGGAAATTCGCATCATGGATGTGCAGCGAACAAATCTGGAGCAACTGTGTGATGCTATCATGTCAATATGGAGTAACATCTCTGAGGAATATTTCCATTACCTTGTTGAATCTATGCCATTAAGGATAAAGGCAGTTCTGAAAGCAAACTGGATCCAACCTGTACTAGTAAGATGTACCTTATAAAGTGGCAGGTGAGTGTATTACAAATGAATTTGAAAAGTAAAAATATTTATATATATTTGTAGGTTACACTTTATGTACGTTATCCCAATTACGATGAATATACTTAAAAAAGTGCTAAATAATTCTAATTAATATGCACTATAAAAATTATACTTTAATTTCAGTCATGTCATTGATTTGACTACACTCAAATAGGAACAATCTGTTTACTGTACTAAGATATATGATGATACTAATGTCAAGAGCTGCTTTTTTAAAATTTGCATTGCATTTTGCAACAATGCCAATAAATTAACACAAGATTGAGCTGGTAATGAACATGTTGGAGAACAGTTTATAGGTAAATTGAACCGAAACAATACAGTTTTAAAATGACCTAAATTAACACTGAACTGATTTAAGCTCAATAATAACAGTATTGGATTTTTAGAGCTACTTTGTAGCAAAAAAATGTATATTTTATTTTTATTTCTTTCATATTTGATGACATTTGCATTGATCTCATTATTTCACTGATTACTGTGCTGTATCAGCACTACTGCCTAACTAAATGCATGTAATGTAAAAGGGATAATGTCAAATAAAGTGTTACCTTTTGTTCTTTCATATTTAATGACATTTTATCCTACCTTTTTCACAAGTTTGGTCACCTGAGGTAAGCAGAATGAGGAAACAAACACAGTTGCTGAAATATGAATAAGTTTGAAAAACAAATAAGTACTCCATTATTAAGTTAGTATTAGAAATAATAATTATATTATTGTTAATAGTAATTAGTATTTGCTATGTAAAATATACATTTAGCAACTTCATTAAACTAGATATCTACTGTTGAAAAATTCCACAAAAAGACTTCAGTGTATTTTTACAACACTTTCAAGTTGTGAACTGAGTGTTACATGTGATGCAGTAAAGGTGTAATTGTAAGAAATGTATTTTTACTAATTTACTGGTTGAGCTATCATTCTGGGCTACATAATTTGTATCCAATTTACTAGCCAATGATAAAAACTGACTTTAAAAAGACTGTCCTGTATAAATACCAGAATTACCAACAGGAGTACATGTAAGCAGGAGGGACAAAAACTGTCTGATGCAAATTTTTAATGTTTCAAATTAAAGCTTTTGAATTTGTAGCATCTCCAGGTACCCAGGTATTTTTATACCCAGGTCTAAAAAATGATTCATTTAAAACATATGAAAGCTTCTTCCTATCTTCATGGCAAATAACCCAGCTTTGCCTTGGGCATTTAGCAGGAACTCATTAAAATAGGAGAAAGATCTGAAATGATTGAATAATAAATGTGAGTGCACCAGTGTTCTTCTCTCTTTGTCTGTTTCCACATTTTCTATCTTTTACATCTGTTTACTACCCAGGCACTTACATGGTGTTGCTCTAGGTGATTTAGGGCTCTGGTGTGTTCCCATTTTCATCCTATACAACAGCCGTCTGCAGAGACAAGACAAGGAAAATTACAAGAAGAATCAAAGACATTTTTATAGAAGAATCTGAAAAAAAAGAAAAAAAAAAACATTATCAAATCTAGATTCAATTAATTTATCTGGCTTTCTTTTATGTTTTGTTGTGTTCGTTTCACAGCACGTCATAATTTGATTACTGTTTGTCTTCTTTATACAGCACATTGTTTAAAGTTAGGAGTGTTTAATTGTGCTCAATCAATAAATTTAAATATTTACTGTATTCACAATTAATAGATCAGCTCTTGTTTTACCAATTTTAACTACTAACATTCATAACTTTTGTATGTTTAGTCAAAAAATATTGGTCACAGTTTATTTTGATGGTCCGTTTGTTGAATTTAAGTTATATTGCATCTAAATGCCAACTAACTCTCATTAGATTATAAGTAGACTGTTAGGTTGGGGTTGATGTTAGGGTTAGGGTAAGCTGATTTGTACTTGCAAAGTTTTTTTATAGTCAGTTAAATGTCTGTTGAAGGAGCATATTAACAGATATTAAGCAGACAGTCTACTAATACTCAATTGGACCATCAAAATAAAGTATTACCAAAATATTTTATCGACATCTAATCGGTATAAAAATTCGGTAACACTTTACAATAAGGTTCATTATTTAATGCATTTACTAACATGAACTAATCATTAACAACACATGTACAGCATTTATTAATCAAAATTGAACATTTACTGAAGCATTATTAACATTCAAGTCCATGCTTTTTAACATTAGTTAATGCACCATGAGTTAACATGAACTAACAATGCACAACTGTATTTTCATTAACTAACATTTATTAACATGAATATATACTGTGGTAAACATATTGTTTAATGTTTGTTCATGTTAGTAAATGCAATACTTAACATTAACTAATGAACTTTATTGTAAAGTGTGACCAAAAATTCAAATAACACAAAATAATTTTCTTAAGAATTTCACGTCCTTGCTCCTTTGTTCATTATTTCACTTTTAATAACCAATGTTAACCTTTAAAAACAGTTGATTTTTCACTTTTATTTTATCCATCATCATCAAACCTGCTTGTAACAGCATGAAATACACTTTCCGATATAGTCAAATAAATTAAAATTACTGAACAATCTCAGAACCCTGCTGAAAAAAACAGCTTAAACCAGCTAAAGCCGGTTTTAGCTGGTTGACCAGCCTGGCTTTGGAGGGGTTTTGACCATTTCCAGGCTGGTTTCCAGCCATTTACAGCTGGGTGTTAGCTGGTCAGGCTGAAAAATGACCAGCTAAATCCAGCTAAAACCAGCTTGACCAGCCTGGTTTAAGGTAACGAGTGTTTCCAAAAATATGTAGTAGTTTTTTCTGTCGCAGAACATAAAACGCCCAGAATGATGCTCTAAACGAGGTGGTAACAACCCCAACCCCAGAACCCCATAATTTTATTTGTGCAAATTATATTATTTTACACGCACACGCATTAAAAAAGTAGATCCAATATTAGTTTTGGTAAAAACATGTAATTGTTTTCCATATTAAATGATATATATGTAAATGACACATACAGGGCCTGTTTACTTTACAAATATCATTGATTATTATTATTATTATTATTATTATTATTACAAGTTGAATTTTGTTTATTTTTATTTTTTTAAGTCTACTTTTACATATTGACACATGCAAACCACTACAGAAATGTGCTAAACTAAAGGCCCATGACATATACAGTACAGAAACTTAATAAATAACCCACTATAAATTAAAAGTATTAACGTATGCTGTTTTTTGTTTTCACAAGCATTGGATACATACCATAAATTCTGCTTTTAATAATAGGTCACCTATAGCTTTCGTCATGAGGCTGTGTTTAAAATGACATCAATGTTTTCAAAGCGCACTGTGAAGGGAGCACAACTGTAAACCTGAAGATCTCTAAAACTGAACAGTAAAAATATTTTTAAAGCAAGGAGAACTAGGAATAGAACAAAGCCAGGACTTATGTTTCTAACTACAGTTCCAGAGGTGAAGTTGCAAGCATACAAGTTTGTGACACAGTTTGCCAATGTTCGTTGGAACGATAGATTTGGGAAATGCCAAATCAACTCACTATGTTTGTAATGACGGACTTTGCGACCTTAGTTGGCTAACGATGGTTTTCAGAAGCCCACCCCTGGCTAGGCTGGTCAAGCTGTTGTAGCTGGTCATCTTCCAGCCAGACCAGCTAAGACCACGCTGAAAATGGCTGGAAACCAGCCTGGAAATGGCCAAAACCCCTCTAAAACCAGGCTGATCAACCGACTAAAACCAGCCAACCAGCCTAGGCTGGTTTAAGCTGTTTTTTTCAGTAGGGAATAAAAATAAATAAATAAGCAAAAAAAGATACATTTTTACAAAAAAGCTAGCAATACAAACCCGTTTGTAGAGCACCATTGCATATCAAAAACATTTGCTCTATTAGGGGCTAATTTTGGTGGATGAAACATTGACATTATTTTGTTGTGTACTCTACCTCTCTTGGAATTGTCGTGAAGGAATGAGGCCGGCACGCAGGTTGCTATCTCCCACTCTTTTGGCCTGCCACCACGTTGGATCGTCTTGGCTCACAACCTGCAGGACGTCCCCACATAAAAAAGGTAGTCCTGCCTCTTGACAGGGGGTTGCCCTGTCCTCATACGGTGTGTAATCAAACAGTGCCCGTAAATAGACCTTTAAAAAGACATACAATGACACAACATTATCTGCAGAAACTGCCATCTATTCTATGCTTTGACTTTAAAGTGATTACATTCACCTTACTCTCCTTGAACCTGTCCTCTTCCTTAATGGCAGGAATTATCTTCAGAGTGATCGAGCCTTGAGACTGAGACTGCAGTCCAACAATTAATAAACAATCAAGGACACTAAATCCTGTAATTGCCTTTTCAGATAAAGAGTCTTACGGGAATGGCTCTAGAGTCTTACGGGAATGACTAGCGTTTTGTAAAGTAACCGAGAAACAGTGAACTCACCAGAATCTGGCTGATCTCCTCTGGACGTTTGTGTATAATGAGATTTCCATTGACCTCCCTCAGCTCGTCTCCAACATGGACCAGACCTGAAAGAGAAACCAGTCAACAAACATCATGATGTGTTCAAAATTTGTTTCGCATTCCTTTATAACTTCATCCTAATTTTACAATATAAATCTCGGTATAACGGCATCATATCGTATTAATACATACAATATACGGTCACTGGCCACTTTATAAGGTACAACTTACTACCGGGTTGGACCCCTTTTTACCTTCAGCACTGCCCTAATACTTTGTGGCATAGATTACTTGAACTAAGACCAAAACAAAGATTTTGCTCCATTTTGACATGATAGTATCAGGTATTTGCTGCAGATTTGTCGGCTGCATATTCATTATGCAAATCTCCTGTTCCACCACATCCCAAAAGTGCTCTATTAGATTAAGTTCTGGTGACTGTGAAGGCCATTTGAGTATGCTCATTGTCATGTTCAAGAAACCAGTCTAAGATGATTAATGCTTGATGACATGGCACGTTTCCTGCTGGAAGTAGCCATCAGAACATACCAGCTCAAACCAGTCTGGCCATTCTCCTCTGACCCCTGGCATCAACACGGCATTTGTGCCCACAGAACTGCCGCTCACTGGATCATTTCTTTTTTTAGACCATTCTCTGCAAACCCTAAAGATGGTTGTGGGTTAAAAAAAATCCCAGTAGATGAGAGGTTTCTGAAATACATGACTTGAGACTTGTCTTGGACTTAAGTTAAATGACTCGAAATAACTAGTTTTTGTTAAATACACAACCATTTGTTATATAATATGCATTTAAAAACAAAACAAAACCGACAGTTCTAAGTCACACATGCGCAGTATTAACTGGATCTGGACTGGATCGTTTGGTTCAGAAGAACCGCTTTAAATGATTCATTAGATTCAATTAAACGATTCATTTGAACGATTCATTTGCCATTCGTCCATCAGTTAATGCGGTGATGAAAAATGACATGACTTGCTTGAGACTTGAAGGTTATGACTTGAATCTTGCTTGTGGCTTGCACATATGTGAGTTACTCCCACCTCTGGTACCTAATAAATTGGCAGGTGAGTGTAGAATGTCTAGGAATTCCATGTCATAATATTTGTGATTTAAAATTCCTTTGTTAGATACTCCCTTCAAAGACATAACAGAACTTTTGCTAAAATTTGAACGCCCTTTCCTTCTTTGATTTCTTATATTAAACTCTCCAGCTGGATCTACACTGATAACCCCTGCCAACCATTCATAATAGTAATACTGTACATAATAGTCTGTAACCTTTGATTGTCTTGGATTTTAAGATTGAGGTTATTGCATGCATGTGTCTGTCCCTCAATTAGTTATGTATTTAGTTTTTTTTATTTAATTTTATTATATTCCCACACTTAATGTTTTTAATGTATCTAAGTGTGTGCCTACACAGTTTATTTCTGTAGTCTCTATTTTTTTTCTTTTTCATTTCAATCTTGACAGTTGTTTTTTGTTTGTAAAAAATAAAAAATAAAATTTATGAAAACCATCTACTATAATTACCATTCTAAATGTTTTAAACATCATTTCTATTTTCAGGATTAAAAATAGTCATGGATATTTGGACCCCAATTTGCAGTATAGTAATAAACCAATGTAAATTTGCATAGATGACACTTAAATATCTACAAATTTGTCTGAAGTCTAGTGTCCATATTAAGCTTCCTTCAGTTTCTGTGTTTGCAACCTTACGACATTGCTGACTTGCTCTGTTATAGAATAGGATAGCTCTGAACATGAGGTGTACGTCATATTTCAGAAGAATTTCTATGGCAACTATGAAATCTGTTCTGTATATTTCCAGTGTAATCTGTAATCCCAGAGGGAAGTATAATCTCAAGGATTTTAGTCAATAGTTTGGTTATGATCAGAAAAATCCACCGCTCAAAATGCCATTAATATCAACAAAAAATGTTTCTGCTGTAATTACAGTTTCCCCTGGTCCCCTGCCATGTAATTTCCAAAATGTCATTTTTGAAATCATTTTGGATCTTTAACAGAAGTGATTCTCAGGAAATTCATTGCATAACACTTTAAAAAATGGAATTTCATTCCCTTCACTCTACTGAGGATTGAGTCGCCTGTCACGGTTTGTCAGATTCAAGAGTTTTTGACTTGGATGGTCCCTGATTGCGTCAGTGCAGATTATGTTACATCAAATCTGCTGAGAGAGATTTTGCTGTGGTCCAGCTACAGTTTAAAAACACACAGCTGGCACAGCATAAAAAAAATGCAGAAACCAGACTGTCACTCACCACTGCGGTCTGCAGCGCCGCCCCTCATGATCCTAGCAACCACCACCGCCCCAGTTACCTCGTCCCTGCGGATGGTTGCACCCTAAAGGGACACAATAAACTGCAACATCAAATTTGTTGTGGAGAACAGAATAAGCATTTTATAGACAGAACAGGTCAACCATCTTTTTTTTTTTTTTTTTTTTTTTAACAGTTAAATGTACACTGTGGTTGCTAAGAAAGCTCTTGAGAAGAAATTATACTGTCACCACCAATGAAAAAAATAATCTATATGGTATGGATGTTTTAATACACATGACCAGTGTTAGATATGTTGTTTCACAGTCAATACCAAATCTATTTCAAGATTGTCTATCAAATTATTCATCTAGGTGTTTTTTTTCTGCTCTTTTAAGAGAAGGCTATTGTAACAGGATAGCTGCTTGTAATGCATGACTATAGCTGCAGTTAGCCTACATTTCTATATTTTTTTTACATAATGTATTTAATCAACAGCCTATTCTCCAACCTGGGGTGCATTTTTGATATCCATTGTAAACCAACTGAGTTCACAAGTTCAGTTGTTACAAACATAGTTTGTTGATTTGGTGTTTCCCAAAACCTTTGTTCCAAAGAACATTCCCAAATAGGTGAACACAGCCTTGGCTCATGACAAAAGCTATAAGTGACCTATGATTTACAAACTGTAATTTATGTTACATCTCCAAAGTTTGTGGAAACAAAAATACGTTAATAGTTTTAATATATAATATTTAAGAAACTTTTCTGTATGGACTTTTGGGTGTCAAAGTTGTAAAAGTAGATTTTTCAAATAAAAACACATTAACCTACTTAATAATAATAATAATAATAATAATAATAATAATAATAATAATAACAAAAGCTGAATCTAAATATAATTATAGGCAACAAATAAATGGAAGTATGACCCTTTATCTGACATATATATGAGATAAAATATTATGTGTTATTGTAAGTGATTTCATGTTTAAGAATAGAATATGGAATATTCTCAATAATGCTTAAAAAACTATATATACAGTTGAAGTCAGAATTATTAGCCCCCCGGAATTATTAGAAGCTTGTTTATTTTTTCCCCAATTTCTGTTTAATGGAGAGAAGATTTTTTCAACATATTTCTAAACATAATAGTTTTAATAACTCATTTCTAATAATAGATTTATTTTATCTTTGCCATAATGACAGTAAATAATATTATACTAGATATTTTCAAGACACTTCTATGCAGCTTAAAGTGACATTTAAATGCTTTACTAGGTTAATTAGGTTAACTAGGCAGGTTAAGGTAATTAGGCAAGTTATTGAATAATGATGGTTTGCTATCGAAAACAAATATAGCTTAAAATAGCTAAAACGTTTGACCTTAAAAAATGGCTTAAAAAAAAAAAAAAAAAAAACTGCTTTAATTGTAGCCAAAATAAACAAATAAGACTTTCTCCAAAAAAAAAAAAATATTATCAGACATACTGTGAACATTTCCTTGCACTATTAAACATCATTTGCTAAATATTTTAAAAAGAAAAAACAATGCTGTATATAAAATAAATCAATTGATTAAATTGACAAAAATGTTACTTTATCGAGATATATCTTAATCAGTATATGAGATGACTTAAAATGTGATATAAAATTTTTGTCATATTGCCCAGTCCCATTAAATATGTAGTGTATGTATGTATATATTTGAATGGCAAAACTTACAAGAGGCTCCTTGTTCTTCACTAAACGCACAATTTTCACTGATTCCTCTTCCAGTTCATCCTCCAGATCATTCGGCAGAGGAGGGAGCACTGGCTCAAAGTTCTTCTGTGCCACCGTGTCATGTACTGTTAGCACTGCCTGATGAGAAGAAAAATTGCAACAAAAGTTGACAGGATGATCTAGTGCTGTAGAAGATTTAATGTGCCCACAAAGAGAGAGAGAGAGAGAGAGAGAGAGAGAGAGAGAAAGAGAGAGAGAGAGGAGAGGAGGATGCAAGACTATGGAGGATGCAAGCACGTAAGATGAACTGACACAGAATGGAAATGAAAAAGACAGAAAAGAGGAAATTTATGCCGGGGGCGCATGAAGGAAATGAGCGAGTCGAATTAGAAAGTTGTAAAATATCATCTGATTCTGTTTTGTCATTCAGTGCAGACTAGAAAAAACTGAGCTTAGACTTATTACTCTAATCATCTTTTAAATACTGATTTATCAGGAATCTTGATATTAACATATTGATTACTTTCAAGCTGATTATTTCAGGGTTTCATCAAGTCAAATTAAATACTTTTTAAGACCCCTTTAAGACCATTAAGAATAAAATGTTAGACTTACACAGGGCTGAGACTTTTTCTAGCATTATCACATGTAATTGTTTTTTTTTTTCTCTGATTAGGGAATTTCTGTTACTTTTTGTTTACTTTTTATTTACTTACTAACTTATTTTACTTTATTTGATTTTATGGTCACAATTTATTTTGATGGTCCATTTGTTGAATTTAAGTTACATTGCATTTACATGCCAACTAGTTCTCATTAGATTATAAGTAGACTATAAGGATGGGGTTAGGGTTGGGGTTAGTGTGACGTACTTGGGAATATTCTTATGGTCAGTTAAATGTCTGCTGAAGGAGCAGTATCAACAGATATTAAGCAGACAGTCTACTAATACTTAAATGAACCATCAAAATAAAGTGTTACTAATTTTATTGCATTTAATGTTGTTTCCACCTTTATATGATGACTTCCATTTTTATTTCTTACATCAGAAATTGTGTTTTAGGGCCAAATTTAAGATTAGATTTTTTTTCCAGGGACATAGATTTGGCATGGATAAAGGGGATGCACTTTGTTCTTGGTGCGGTTCGCTTTCACATGGCAAAGTTTCTAAACGGACCAAAATAGCTAAAACAAGTCATGTGCGAGTAAACTCCTCACATTGGTCAGTGTTTCAGGGTTTATTTTGCAGAGTCCCGCTCAGCTGTCATGCGTCCTTATTTTAATTTATGACGATGAGCAATAAGACATTATAAGCGAAAGTCTGAATGGTGAATCTGAATTTCTGAATGGTGACGACCACAGACGCTGTCAAGAATATAGAGCAGAGGAAAAACTTTCTCATGCACAGCAGTTGGCTTGTGCATTATAGGCTTCACATTATAGAGAGAAATAACAAATAAAGTACTGCAGTTCAGTCAATTTTCCTAATGGATAAACAGCTCTCGTTAACAGTTCAGCATGCTTTAACTTTCGCATTTTACACAAAACGCACATTTACTGGTAGAAATGACATCCTACCCTACTCATCTTTCTCTCTTCATATAGCTGTATATGCCTATTACATATCCATAATACACTGTGATATAGCCGGGCTCAGATCCTATTGCTTTCTCATTACAATTGATCAGCTTCCAATTTCGTTTCAATCGAGCCGAGAACACCTCATTCAGGCGTTCTTGAACTGATTGCTTTGGCGAGGATTCGAACACAGTTTCTGGATTCACATATGCCAAATGAATCGTGCTAACTGGGCAAACAAGACATAAAAAGTCTGGGTGTGGAAGCACCCTTAAGCAGGTTGCACATGCAGCGCCATGCATTTTAGAATTCTAAACATAGGTTTCTATCAGGGTACACACACCGGCACCACAAGTCAGCGGCTGTCGGCGGTGCCCTGCCATGACTCAGGACACAGTTCCTATTTCTGCCGCGCCTCGGAGTGCCATCTGATTAGTTTCATTTTAAATACCATGCAAATGTGCGCGTCTGGTGTGTGATAGTTTCAACTGTCTTGTGTGTGCCGTGTCGCTGAGCAGCGCATCCGGTGTGTGACGGCCTTTAGATCGGACAAGAAGCACTGCATTGAATTTCATTTCCCTCCACCATCTCTTTAAAATATGAAAATATGTTTATTTTACCCCAGTATTTTCAATAGAATTTCTGTGCAAGCCTGTTGCTACTGATGGCACTAGTGGTTACAACAGTCTTTGTCGTTTTACGCTTGAAAAACTAAATGAATGCTTAAGTCTATTTAATTGAATGTATTGTAATTAGATTATTACATCGATGCTGTAAAAACAACATTGTGAAATTGAAAATAGTTTATCGTTGGCTTTAAAACTCTAGCTGTGCATAGAGCCCATTGGCTGGCCCTATTATGTTTTGATGGGAGAAGCACCAAAACGTGAACATAAGTAGCTACTTTTTAAAGATTCATGTTTTGAAAGTCACATTAACTTATTGGCTTTCATGATTATGAAAAATAATAATCGGGATAAAACTGTTAAATTGCATCATGTGCGTCTTTGTAAAATTTCTTTACATTCATACCTCCTCAAAGCCACATTACAAAATCATGTAAATTGACTTTTGCAGCATGGGATGTGTTTCATTAATCGTTATTCATATTATTAGGCATTTAAAGCTTTTATTCAGGTTTTTAAAAGCACAAAAGAGAATTTGTGTTGTCCTATGCATGTGCTACGTATGTCCCCACCAGTGTCAGGAGCAAATCTACACTCTTTTTTTAATAAAAGTATCCACAATGACATGAAAAAACACAGTAAAAAACAAGTCTAAAGCACAGGTGTGAGTTTTGCACCTTTATGTGTGGAGTGGAAAGAAGTGCTAATAGCTCTCTCTCATCTTCTTCCAGTGATCCGTTTTGTAGCTCCTCTGCGACCTGCCAATTCCAAATCACAAACCCAGAACTGAAATTCTAAAAAGTCACGAGTGAGGGTAGGATGGCTGTAGTAATATAAGATATTTGATAGACTTTTTTATTTATATAATTATAATTTTATTGATTGCATTGCGATGTATGACACTTACGTCTTCAGCCAGGCAGGAAGCGCTGTGGAGCACAGGGGTCGGACTGTAGAGGTGGAACTGCCTTAGTCGCTCATGAATCTGCAGGTCAAAGAAGGACAGTATATATAGACAGTTATTCAACAAAACCCATTTATAATATTAGACATAATCTTCTGCATTACACACTTTCATAAGATAGCTTAGACTCCTCTCACTGAAGACCTCCCTCAGGAAAACCAAATCCTCCTTATGATTTGCTTCTGGATGCAGCTGGGAAGTGAGGAGTGCTAGCATCTCATGTAAACCTGCAAGAAAAGTAATTTTACTTTAACCCATACATTAATGTTTAACCTTTAAACAGATTTGTTATGATTAAAAAGAACTTGTAATGATTGCATGGTTTAAGTTCATACAAAAATGAAAATTAGAGAGTTAGAGTTTAGAGTTTCATTCTTCTTTTGAACACAAACAATGGGGATTTAGAGAATAAACCTTCCATGTAGTGTGTAACTGCTCTAAGTGCAGTGATATATCCACCTAAGGCTTAAATCTGAAAGTGGACAGTGCTTAAAACTATTGATTCATTTATAAAAGAGTTGACTCCTAGCACTTCAAATGAATCGTCTTGACAACGAGTCTTTAGCCATTTCGGCATGACGTGGATACAAAACTTAAGCCCCGCCCACAAGCAACCTGCAGTCCCGCCCACAAGCACAGTACACAGAAAAAGAGGCTAGACACACACTGTAGCAGACGCCGGTTGAATCAACGATGTGCTCAGCTGGATATTACTGGAAATGTGAGGGGAAAGTTAGTGCCATTTTCTCTTCCCAAAGATAAAACTGTGAAGAGTCAGTTGTTGAGGTTTATTTACCTCAGCATTATAGCCCAGCCTTATGCTGTTCGAGTGGGTCTGGAATCTACAAGCTTACAGGGAGAGATGGGGTGGGTGTCATGGATGAAATTGAGGATCGGGGGGTTCGCATATGCCACCCTCGCTATTCTGTTCACACATACACAATGCACTCTGACTACTTCCATATTGTTGATAAGCCGTGCAGGGCATTTCACTCTGTCTGGCGCTGAATGCAGTCGACCAATCGCAACAGGCTGCAATCGGTCCAATCAGCGCAGATTAGCTTCGCACTAAGGAGGGGTTTGGGAACAAATTAATCGCTGAATGATTCATATGGGAACATATAAACTAGAAAAGCAAAGTTCGTAGACACACTTTATGGTGGCTTGAGAAAGCCTTGTTTGAAAGTTTGAAGTAGTTTAAATGTTTAAATAATTAAAGCATTTTTAAAAAAAGTTTGAAGCAGTTGGCATAGATAACTGCATATTTGTTAGCATGTCTCTAGTATGGATTGGCATGTTTCCTGCTAGGCAGTGGATTGGGTGTGCTAGGTGATTGCTAAGGTGTTGCTTGAAGTTGCTAAGGTGTTGCTAGGTGGGTGTTAAGGCGGTGCTAGGTGGTTGCTTTGTTAGGCGGTTGATCAGGCATTGCTAGGGCTGTTTCTTAATATGCGTTCTTGTCTGTACTTGCGTACTTGTGTCCTTGTGAAACGTCATCAACCGTCGCCAAAGTACTGTTCCAATTTTAAAGTTCACATCTTTCCAAGTACAGATGAAATTCCCGGATGTGTACTTGTTGTTAGTATATCCAATGTAAAGTCAATGGCAGATTTTTACAATGGAGGTCTATGGGACAGTAGATAGGGTGCTGTAAGTGGTTGCTAGGGTGTGACTAGTAAGTTGAAAGGTCATCAGTTTGGCAAACTGGTAGTCTGAGTTAAATGAGCCCAACCTTAAGTATGTATGACAGACTGGCGCAAAGGTATGAGTTTACAGTTACTCTGGACTTTTCCCAATTTTCCGGCTCAGTTTTTAATTTTTTAAGTTTTTAATTTTAATAATAATTTTATTAATGATTCCTAATATGAAATTCAATCGTAAGCTTGGCAAGCAGTTTTGGAGAATTTCAGGTTTACCCCTTCAGACAGAATGCCCGAGCAAACTGCCCGAGAGGCATTTCAAAGATGGCCGCCAAGTGAAATTACTTGCCTTAAAGGGACTTTGATACAATTCTGAAATAACCCATAGCACAACATAGGAGTTAGATGAGAAAAAAATGCTTCTTTACAATTATGACGAATTAGTTTTTTATTGTATTGTCATCACAGCTGCAGTGTGGATTACCTGTGGTAGGTGAGAGAACAGGCATGGCTGCTCATGAGATGGATGGAGACACAGACAAAAAATGTTTCCTTCTTCTCGCAGGTCACTCGAAATGTGAGTTCATCTGACAAGGCTGTTATCCACAAAACTTTAAGAGAAAAACAGCAAACACAAATTGGTAAAGAGCATCAACAGGAACTGTTAACTGTTTCTCTCTGTGGACTGTGTGTTAAACAGCTATTTAATAATGCTGTAGCACATTAAATTAATGAGGCGAAACCTGCAAGACACAATTAGGGGGTAATGGTCATTTTAGGTTCATTTAATCAACTCATGTTAAAATGACTTTAATTTCTATAGCTGATTGCATGGTGATATAGAATTAACTATGTTATAAAGGAATGAGATATTATCATGGTCAAATTAAACAAGGCATTTTTTTGTACTGTTCATCATTAAAAATAAAGAAAGTTGTTTTGTTTCTAGTCTAAATATCAAAGAAAAATCTTAAACCAAGAAGCATTTTGTAGTCAAGTAAAACAAAGTAGAGTTTTTCCTTAAACAAGGTTATTTTAGCGCTTTGGTATATTATTTTGCTTGCTTTACAAAATATTCAGTAAAACTTTACTTAAAGGTGTGTTTATTAGACTGTCGTGACACCTTATGACATGTCATAAATATAGAGATTTTGTGCATATGACAACTGTCATATGTCATTCGCTCAATTATGTACTTTTAATTTAATGCAAATTAAATTAATTGTACTTTTTTATTGCAAACATGACATTGTCAGAGATATCTTTGTAAAGACAACTTAACAAACTAATACAATATACACTAACTGGCAAATGTCTTGTCGTCAATTCCAGTTGTAAGAGCAACAAATAATAACTCGACTTCTAGTTTATCATTTGAAAAAGTGGCAGAAGGTAGATTTTTCTGATGAATCATCTGTTGAACTGCATCCCAATCATCACAAACACAGAAGGACCTAATGAATCCGCATGAACGCAAGATTCTCAGAGAAATTAGACAAGTTTGGTGAAGGAAAAATCATGGTTTGGGGTTACATTTAGTATGGGTATATACATATATATTTACTATATGTAAAAGATCTGCAGAGTGGATGACTACATCAACGGCTTGGGGTATCAAGACATTTCTGCTGCCCATTACATTAATAACCACAGGAGAGGAAACGTTTTTTCAGCAGGATAGCGCTCCTTCTCATACTTCAGCCTCCACATCAAAGTTCCTAAAAGCAAAGAAGGTCGACGTGCTCCAGGATTGACCAGCCCATCAAACACAAACATTATTGAGCATGCCTGGGTAAAGATTAAGTTATTTGAGGGTAAGGGTAAGTCAAGGGTTAAGGGTAAGTTATTTAAGTCATTGCATACATGTATGGATGCAGTCCTCCAAGCTCATGGGAGTCGTACACAATATTAATTCTTTTTCCACTGCATCATCACTCTATATTCTATACTGTACATTATTTCTGTCAAGTGACAAGACTTTTGTCTAAGCAAAGTCAGACCTTACTGTCCTAATTAAATAATAAAAAAAACAAGGCATGATCATATTTTACTTTGTAATCTAGAGGTTTTTGCCTTTCATATTAGCCACTTCTGATACCAAATGATCAACTAGAAGTCAAGCTATTATTTGTTGTTCCTAAAAGTTGAATAGGCGACAAGACTTTTATCAGGTAGTGTAAATTATCATCATGATGATGATGAATTGTCATGAGGCCATTTTAGTTGTCATGAATACTTTTTTTCCACTTTTTTTTTCAGTGGAACAAACTGAATATTTCTTTGCAATTTCCCAGCATAAGTGCAATGGTCTGTCAAATAATTGTATGACAGTGTCATTAATATTTAATGACATTTAATAACAAATTAAATTTGCACCACTGTAGTTAAGATCATTAAACATTAATAATGTTGTTATAAATTCAAGACACATTTATAATGGCTTTATGACATTTCATGTTTATGACAGATTTATGACAAGCTGTCTCGCCTTGAAAATGTGAAGTAGTGATGACAGACAATGACAGGTTGAGATGTATTTACTGTATGTCAGGTTATTATAAAAATAAAGACATCTCTAAAAATGTCAGCTTTGCATTTAAAATGACAACTGAATGAATAACACTTAACTGCAGTTGTCATAAGCATGCATGAAATAGATTTTCAATTGATACTAATGAAAATTCATGATGTCTCATGTCATGATTCTTCAAGTAAAGTGTTAACCAAAATGTTTTCACTTGTCTAGAAAATGCTTCTTGAATTAGGAATTTGGAATAGTAACATGGCAAAACTCTAATCAAGAAAATCATTTTTTACAGCAAGACAAAAATAAACTGTGGACACAAAACAAAAAAACAAAAGACAAGAGAAAAGCTCAATGAAAGATATGCCATTAGTCATGCAATTTAATTACACTTAGTCCTCTAAGTATAATCAGAATGCTTCTGCTATCAGTCAATTGGAGGAGAGCATCTCTTCAGAGGGCACATACAGTAGATTCTGGTGGTTTGCAAAGTTCCCAGTAAATGAGTGAAATAAGTAGAAATGTGATCACTTCACTTGAACATGATTCCCGCAGGAAACAATCCCCATGGCAGCAACAATCAATACTTTATCGCTGCTTTCATCCAGAGAGACATCACTGGAAACGATGTACTCTACACTTTTTAAAGTTCCTTTTGTACAATAACTAAATCTGCCTTTGATTTTGACTGCAAGCATGGTGTGTGGGTAAATCGTTTAGTCTGTCTACAAATGCAACGAAATAGTCCTAAAATTCCTGAGAATGAAGTGTTTGAAAACAGGATTTCTTGATAAAGAAAAGCCTTTCTAAAAGGATCCCTGGAGAATCATTCACAATTTTTTTCATTTCATTTTGGATTGCATTTAACTGTGATTTGAGTTCATATTACAGAAAAAAAACATTATTGAGCATGTCTGGGTTAAGATTAAATTATTTAAGGGTAAGGGTAAGTCAAGGGTAAGGGTAAGGGTTCCACTTTATATTAAGTCGCCTTAACTAATATGTACTTACACAGGAATTAATACAATGTACTTATTGTGTAAATACATGTATTTATTGTGTACTTATGCTTGATTAAATACCTGTATGTAATTACATCTGTAACTAACTTCTGTAATTACATTTGTAAATACACTGCTGACCATTCCATACATTGTATTTATTTATTTTTATTTTATATAAGTACATAGTAGTTAAGGACACTTAATATAAAGTGGGACCAGGGTAAGTTATTTAAGTCATTGCAGAAATACTCATGGTAGTCGTACACAACATTAATTCTTTTTAAGCCTTCTTTTAAGCCTTTAAAGTCAGATGTTTGGAAATGTTGACAATGTTTCAGGTATTCCGAGCTTTAAAATATTGCAATAAACTTTAAATAAAAAAAATTTAAAATGTAACACAAAATGTGTCCTAATTTGACTGCTATGCCATAAAAAAACACCCAGTGTACATTACTACTAACTAACATGAGAAGAAACAAACAAAAATTCCTATAAAGGGCATTGTTCTAGATTTATTTCCAAATGATTTGCTAAATTGCTGAATTATTTGATTGATCATTTGTTGATAAAAAGGAAGGATCACAGACCAGGCTCGTATAGCTAGGGAGGGTTTGGGTGGTTTGAAAGATCCACCCCTCACTGACAAAGGTCCGGAATTTGTTCCATACATGAGTTCATTTGTCCTATTTTGACAGCTATGCCATCATAATAAGTGAAAATAATCTATTGAAAACACTTTAAGACCAAGTGGAATCCTCTGTTGGCTGTCATGACTCATGACTTCAGCTAATTAGTTTTGGCGAATACAAACAATTAATTTATATGAGTCCAACATCCAGTTGTGCAAGAAAACATAAAATCTGATGTAAGTGAAGTCATATTTCACCACTGTATGTTTTTTAAATAGAGAAAACTGTTTAATTTTTGACTAAATCTTGCACCTTATTCTTGAAAAAAAAAAAAAAAAAAAGACCAATAAAAAGGTGTGAAGCGCAAGGCCCATATTAATATTCATTTGAATACTATTTTGGCTGTTGTTATCCATGAATTTTAAAATGTACTTTTTAAAAAAGAGAGGCTAGAAAAATTGTGAAGCTCCAAAAGGTCCACGTTTTTTTTTTTTTTAAAACCTGGCTATGGGCCCGCAGACTGTAAAATGCTCTTCATTTTTACATGTTTCGTTTTATTTAATGACTAATTTTACATATGTTACATTAATTATTGATGGAATGTTATTTCATATACAATTTCCCCAAACTTTTTGAATCAATTTAGCAAATTCTATCAAATTCCAGGCACAGTGTAAAAAAATATCTGTTAATTATCAGTTTCTGTATTTTATGATTTAAAATATACATACATACATACTTACATATATATATGCACTATATATGCATATAAAAAACATGCACTTATTTTCCATAGTAATATAATGATTGAATATTCTTTTATAAAACATAAAATAACTTACAAAAGCTAACACATATTCTAATATCATATACAAATCATATAAATCAATAAATAAATAATGAGGCTATTTATAAAAAATAAAATTGAATATTTATTATTTATTAGAAAATAAAAAACATCCTACTTTATTATGAATATTAATTAAATTAATTATGATGATGATGATGATTGTTATATATATATATATATATATTCTACTTTTACAATTTGACACATGCAAACCACTGCTGAAATGTTCTAACCAAAAGGCCCATGACATATACAGTACAGATACTTAATAAATAACCTAAATTAAAACCATTAAGATATGCTATGTTTTTATTTGTTTTCACAAGCTTTGGAGACTAAACCGGCTTTGGAGTTCCACTTTTAAATAATAGGTCACTTATAGCTTTCATCATGAGCCACGGCTGTGTTCAAAATTACATCGATGTTTTCAAAGTGCACTGAGAAGGGAGTGCAATTGTAAACATGAAGATCACAAAAACTGAACTGTAAAAACACTTTGAAAGCAAATTACACAAAAAAAGTGACTTTAATGCTTTAGAAAAAAAACTTCCAAGTTTTAATGTTAGAATGTTCTAAACAAATAGGCCATTAGTGGGGAAAAAAGCACCCCTGGAAGTTTATTACAAGGTTTTTGTACCACAATATACAACGCAACCCAGACAATATATCACTTTAAGCTACTAAAATGTTAATCAAAGTCACTTCTTTTTTACTTTTCAAGGTTAAAAGTTGTTGGAAGAAAAATCAAGCTCCCATAATGCAATTCAAAAGCATAATTAAACGGAAAAAAGCGAGAAAAACCATGAATCACAAAATACAAAAAACAATGCTAATTTACAGTTTCTTTTACAGTGTATCTTAAATGATCTATGTAGACACCTGAATAAATCGATGTGACAAAAATAGAGATTAATAGAGGCTTTATAAATCTTTATAAAGCTTTCATCAAAAATGCTCTCATCCATATGTGTCATGTATCATGAACTGCATATTTTATATACTAAACATTCATTTTAAACTGCGAAAAGCGGTGATGATCTTTGTGACATCATCTACAACCTTACAGTGTTTTAAAAGTAATCTAATCTATGCTGATTCTCCATCTTCCCTTTTATTCTGATAATATTGAGCATGATGGAAAGATTACGCTGTTCTGTTTCACTCAGTCGTTCTCACATGCTGGAGTCGCACTGAGAAGATTCTCACCAGACATATGCTCAGATCAGGGCCATCTTGCGAGTTCTTTGCAGCCCAGTCCACTATTAAAAAAAATTTAACTTAATAAAAAAAAAAAAAAAATCAGTAGAAGTGTAAAATGCAAAATCCAACTTCACCAGACCCAAAACCTAATTAGTATGAATGGTAATGGTTCTCCCCAGCAAAACCACATTGGATCTGTCTGACCTTTTATCAGCTTCTCTTTCTCACAACAAACAGGGAGTCTTTTGCCCAGTTCTCGCCCTTTCAGAATGATTCATGTAAGGCTGAAAACATGCCATGTTAGGGGAACAAGGTCATTGAGCCACCCTTCTGCCACCATCTGTCCCTTTGACTATCACGCACTGCTAAAGGCCACCATTAATGCCAACATCTCTAGCTCTCTCCCCCTCTCTCTTGGTGTGTGTGTGTTTCTTGTATGCATAAGTGCATGTATGTACACAAGCAAACATCAAATTAAAGCTCTCTGAAAAAGATTATCGTAAATGACATCAACAGGAGCCATTGAGCCCTGTGGGACAGAGCCTAATTCATTACATTTCAGCAGATTATCAGAAAATAGCCTGTCCCATAAATTAAAACACTGTATATAACACTGTATATAACAAACAAAAAGTGTTGTGAGCAGATTCTTTAACACACAGGCTGAATTTGATTACACTGTAAACACAAAAAGATGCTGGAGACCAAATGACTTCTATTGGTTTTACACAGAGAGAATTATATTTCATATTCCCGACCCCTTGTATATAAGATATCTATATTGGAACCAAGACATTATTTAGTATGTTTATGGAGATGTTTTGTTGTTGTTGTTAACCTGGACCTGACCCACACAGAATGACATAACACAAATTACAGGTGCATGGGAATACCTTCAAGACAAGCACACTACACAAAAAACACAACATATTCAGCACATGTTTAACACATTCAACCAAATTCACCAATGCTCTCTGAACCCACTTACTCTGACACAAAAAGAAATCATTAAAAAATATTAGGAAACCCCCAGCATCATTCTACCTCATTCCAGTGGACGCCAAACTGTCCGTCACGGAATGTGGCCAGTGAAAAACGCATCACTGGATGCTGGGATCCTTTTAAGTGCTGAATCCTGCTGTTCACTCTGTATGCAGAGCGGATTATAGAGCCAGCATGCTAAGGGAGAACGCCCCCATATCTCTTACCTTTCACCGGCGGTGTGAGCGTGAGAGTGTTTCCGCTTTCATGGAAAGACCCTCTGCATCTCTGTGACAATTCCTGCTATAGTGTATTTCGGTGCTCGATACCTCCCTCCTCCCCTTATTCCGTCTCCCATACAGTCTTCAGCCCTCCCTTCCTCAATCTCTTGCTCTATCACCATCCCCCCACTGGCTCTCTCTCTCTCTCTCTCTCTCTCTCTCTCTCTCTCTCTCTCTGTCTCTCTCTTTTAATGATTCTCGCTCTGATGTGGCAGGAGTCTAGACAATGATGTGTTGTGAGAGAATTTTTGGTATTGAAGATTTTTCATAATATTTTGCTTACAGGTGACATTTTAAGAACAGGCTAGCAACTAAAACATTGATTTATTCATTTTCTTTTCGACTTAGTCCCTTTATTAATCTGCGGTTACCACAGAGGAATGAACCGCCAACTTATCCAGCACATGTTTAACACAGTGGCAACAAAAATGGACACTTTAAAAAGCTGTGTGCTTTGTAAAGTCAAGTGCATTTAAAAAGATGGTCAAACAGGAAAAGGCAGGTTGTGCCTATAGGTTATAGTTTTCCTTCATCTCAACATTTTAATGGCGGATATCATGCTATATCTTCCCGTGACATTTAAATTGAGAATAGCAGTGTCATATTTTTAATAAATCAATATATTTGCAATGTGATCAGTTGCTTCCCAATTTTGTTTACACTGTTTACAAATAACTGTGTAAATCATATTTACACTAACCTTTTATTAAAATACTCATTTACTGTGTCATCTTTTAATATTAAAAGATGACACAGCTGTTTTGTATGAGCACAGTGTCCACTCAGAGGTTGAAAGCTTTGAGAAATGGTGTGCTTCATGTGTCAACCATCTTTTTAAAAATACACTGTAAAACTGCTGTTGTCATTATTAAAGATATTAAATTAAAATAACTTGACATTACTTAAAATACCAAGTTTTGGAATCAAATCTTCAACCAGTGTATTTAACTTACTCATTAGCAAAAAACGTTAATATTTTAATGTTAATTAAAACTGTAATTAATATATTAATATTCTCTAAACTTAACTTTTTAGTTTCATTAAACGATTAAGCATGTCTTTGTTTAAAAGGATTGGTTGCACTTGAAATTCTGCCTTGACTGATTGGTCGATATATGGTTTATGACACAAGGTGGTCATTTTGCTTGTGATGCTGAATTGTCCTGAATACCTTTCCTATCTGATGAAATAGAAAAGTTAAATTAGTCAGAAGATATTTATTGGGGGTTGAGCGTTGGACTCATCTCGTAAAAATGACATGTTATGAAACACCAACATGGTACAGGTAAATATTAAATTCGGTATGGCCCTGGCAGTAAGTAAAGAATATAAAAGCTGAACATTTTTGAAGTTTAGTTTGAGACCACATTTGGTCCACTCAATTGAGTTGTTTTATTTTTCATTGCTTATCAAATGGACCATTAAATGAACTGAGGGAATCACTTTCCTCAAATCATTTAAGTAGTCTTATTAGGATTTATAGTGCATCAACAAAACTGAGGAAATAATCTTTGATCCAAAGTCAATTGGGAATCATTCAACTGTGTTTACTGACGCAAAACCCATTAAACAAGTGTGCACTTATAAATATCTGGGTATTTTACATACATAAATGACTTTGCTTACCAAATGTAGTAGATATTTGTTCTCGTGTGCAGCAGCGATTGAGAGTATTTGGAGTACGGCAAAAAGTTGTGTTTTTATTTTACAAATCTGTGATTAAAAGCATAATATATTTACTCTGTGGTATGGAAACATAACAGTCCAATCCAAGCCAAGCTTGGAAAAATGGTGAAGACAGACATGAGAGTCATTAGGAAAAAAGAATATTGATCCTTACAATCCCTCAATGCAATCAGTTTGGGATGAAGAATATTAAAATATTAGCTGACCTCTCGCATAATTTGTTTTATGAGTATGAGTTATGGACCCTTTTCACAAGCCTGTTATGATGCCTTTAATGGTCATTAGCATCTTAAATCCTTGAAAAAGTTTAATATTCAGATTTTTAATTTTTTTTTTTTTAAACATTTCTATGCATTTCTGAGGTGTTTCTAATGCAGCGTCTATGGGACAGGACAGTCAATTTGAGGTTATTCTCTCCTCTGACTACCGTTATCAGTCTCACACAATTTATTTTCCTTTTTCCTGAATGTCTTCATAACTTCATCATGGAGTTTGTCTTTTATTATTTGAGCAAATATAATTGCAAAAAAATTATTTGCTGTATTCTCCAATTCACAGCGCTCTATGTTTTTCCAACTATGACAACTTCGCTGAGAAACCAGGAAATGTGAAAAGAGTCTATTGTCTCTTCTGGTCCAGGATACAGGTTACTTGAGTGCAATTACAACTGTTTTAAAAAATCTCTTTTACCCACATCAAATTAGACTTTTAAATATGCAATATTTGTGTTGATGACTAAATGTTTGTGTTGATTTGTGTTTTTGATGTCTGTTTTGTTCAGTGCATACAAATATTTCCCCATTGGGAACAATAAAGTGTAAAGAAAAAAACAAAGGTATGCTGTGCCACTGAGCTGTCATCAATTTATTTTTTATTTACCAATTTCCACAAAAAATACCAAGCAGAACAGTTTTAAACCTTGAAAGCAATATCTAAGTTTAAATATCAGGAAGATGTGACAATATGGAGCTTAAAATATGACAAAACAATCTGAATGTGATTTGTGTTTATTTGAATTATTAACAGCTGTGATGCAAGAATGGCATCCTCCTGAGCCGCACATACCCCAGCAAACTCACACAGCTCTGTAAATGGCCAAAATGCTTGGTTTGACTTTTTTGGTGTTCATCTACGCTTCCTTATTGATGACTCCTGACCTACTTTCTGTTAATTTCACAATCAAAGTTTCTGGGTTTGAAATTTAGAATATTGAACTTGAAGTTTGGGATTTTTTTTATCTTAAAAACTTGAAGCTGTATTATTACAAACTGGAAATCTGCAGTCTAGGAATTCAGAATAACAGCAACAACAAAAATCTGATTTGAAAATACATCTATAAAAATCAACTGTTAAAATATCCTAAGATGTTCAATATTCAAGTTAAGAAATTCAAATTCAAAACACTCTTTAATGGCATATATTATTCGGTTGCCTTAAATTGCAATTGTCAATAATTCAAATAAATCCAATTTACACTCAAAATGTTTTGCCTTATTTTAAACTTCATAATATGAAAATTAAAACATAAAATTTAATTTTAAAAATTAAATTTAAACATTTAACATTGTTAATCTTTGAACTGTGTTTTAATCAAATAAATATTGCAATAGTGAGCACAAGACATTACTTTAAAATACAATTGTCGACTTCATACTGTCGTACTGTACAGATTAACTGCTGTTACTGTTTGTGCTTTTTGGGCATTTTTTTAGATGAAATTTAAGATTAAGCAAAAATAATAATAAAATGTTTTATATTATAAAAGAATATATAACTTAATAATAATAATAAGATACCCCCGGGTGCTCCGGTTTCCCCCACAAGTCCGAAGACATGTGCTATAGGTGAATTGAATAGTGAATGAGTGTGTATGGATGTTTTCCAGTGTTGGGTTGCAGTTGGATGGGCATCCACTGCGTAAAACGTATGCTGGATAAACTGGTGGTTCAATACATTTTGGCAACCCCAGATTAATAACTAAGCCGAAAAGAAAATGAATTAATGAATAAATTAATAAATGAATAATAATAATAATAATAATAATAATTATTATTATTATTATTATTATTATTATTACAACCACAATAATGCTCACAAGCAAAACCAAATTGAAAGACATAAATACATTTTATTGGTATCAAAACACAACCAAGAAACATTGTATCTGATCATACAAGCTACACAAAGATACCACAATAATTAAATAAAACCACTGCATCAATTTACAGCCTCTGAATTATTACAAAACAAAGCATTCCCTAAATAAAATATACTTAAAAGAGCAATCATCAGAAGTATTCACAGTTTATAGTGTGGTTCTCAGCTAGAACTCCCTGTAAAACAGACACAAATCACATGTGAGCAGATGGATGGTGTACCGCAGTCATAATTCACCAGCCACACATCTTAGCTGTCGAACAGGCTGAGAGCAAATCCTATAAGATGCTCTCAATTTATCTTCAGATCGTAGATTCTCCATTGCTCTGTATGTGTGGTTCATCCTGACGAAATACAAGAAATGCATATCAGCTGCTTATTCTTAGATTGAAACATTTTGAGCAATTTAATATTTTACTAAATCACTGTATTTCTTTTGTACTATAAGCCAATAGGTGACCTTCATTTCTGCTGAGGTAGGGAAATAATGTCACATTATAGGGAGGAAATAAGTGGGTGAGAACGGAGCATGAAGTGAATGGATCTACATTTGCAAAAATCAATCTCCTCATAGGCCTCGGCGGAGCACATCAGACTGAGCTAGAACTGTGTCACAGCCATATTTTAAGCATCTAAGGGGCAGGTCGGGACCTTTCATTAGTCTATTTCAAATTAAGTATTTGGAGCTAATTTTGAGAGACTTGCTAATTGTTAGTGCTTCACTTAAAATTGTGCAGATAGTTGATACTTTAATGCCCCAACATATTATGGCAATGCTCTGCTAGTTAATGCTTCATTTGCTAAATACTTCAGTACGCTAATATTTAAATACCACATCATATTACGAAACAGACATACATTAAAAAATGTAGTAGGTAATAATATGTGTGTGTTTGTGTTTGTTTGTACAAGATATACTAATTTATAAATAATTATCAAAATGCATTTTAATATTGGTAGGTAATTCATATATTTTAGATCTGCCATAGAATATTGCCTTAAAAAACATACACAACCCCAATTGCTAAAAAGTTGGGACATTCTGTAACATGCAATTAAATCAAGAACCTGTCATCTGTTCATTTTCTACTTGTTTTTGTTTGACAAAAGTAGCGCGAATATTTCTTATATATTTATTGACAAACTTCAATGTATTTTGTCAATATTAACTAATTTAGATTTTGATAGCTGCAACATACTTCAAAAGAATAGATGCAAAAAAAAAGTGAAACGGTTATAGTATATCTATGCAATCCAAAAACAAATTTCAACTGGTGATATGTCATCACCTTAGAATTATAAGGTTCTATCTGACATTTTTGTCAAAATTGAGTTCATTACATATTCTTATTAAATGACAACTTATTTACATTATGGGTTGTTTTTTTTTTTTAATAAGATGTTTACATTTTAAGATGTTTTATTTGAAAAAACAAATGTTACAAGCATACTGTTTACTATGGAATCCAAAAACTTTAAAGCTCAATATCTCAAAATCATTCAGAACGCAGAGAGAACCTTATAATTCCAAGGTGACGATGTGAAGGTTTCAGGTTTGGGAAAAAAGAAACATCTCTGTGTTTGCAAACATAAATAGATCACGGCTCATCTTTTTGATTATAAAGTCATGAGATAATTGTCAAACAAATAAAAAAATACATTTTTCCAAATTCAAAACCACAGAGATCGCAAAATAATCTTTTTAGAGATCGCAAAAAAAAGTCTTTTACCAATCTTTGAGCCCCTAGGAGGGAAATCTACCCACATAGGCTCAGGAGAACTTCAGTATTTCCAGTAGGCATGGGCTAGTATGATAAAAATATTATGGTTTCATGATATTGTGATTCCTGCTCTAAAATATCTTCTTTTTAAATGTCTGGGTAAAACAAACAAAAAAGTTTTTTTTCCCCCTTTTGAACAGAATATATTTTATTTTGAGAAACATTTAAAATATTTTGGAGCAGTAAACATGTCATACTAAATCATTTAAATGGATTTTTATTTCTGCTGTCTTTATTAGTTTCCAAAACAGATTTACAATTTAAAAGGCTACAATTTGGATATATTTATATTGTTCTAAAAACAACAACATCAAAAAAAAGTTTTTAAAAAGTCTTACATATACCGTACACTGTAAAAAAAAAAAAAAAATGCAGGGTTCCACACAATTCATTCATGTTGTCCCAACACAAATTGATTAAGTTAACTTAACACTTTTAACAAACTTATGAAGATTGAACATGAAAAAGTTAAGTTGTCCCAATGAAATTTCAAGAATTGTGTTGTTTTTTAGCTCAAGTTTGAACAAGCAAGAAAAAAAAAAATTTAGTGTAGGACCGGCATAACAGATTTTTTGGTGGTTTTAAAACCTTGACTTTACCAAACAGCGGTATACCTTGAAAACCTTGTTATCGTCCAATGCCTAAAATCTACTGTCACTTATCATAAGTTATGTAATCCATCCACCTATTTTTATCTGCATTTTCGAAAATCGCATAAAAAAATACAAAATGACAAACATTGCGATACTCAAAATGACATTTTCCTTGCAAATCTTACAACTGAATTAGATAAACGTTTTATCTGATAAGAATGGTCTGCCTCTGCATCAAAAAAGGAAACCTGAATCTTTATTTGCAGCTTTGTAGCTTATCTCAGATAATCAGTTGGAATCAGTGGAAATATACACTGGGGTCAGATAAGTCCACATTTAAACATGTTTTAGAGAAAAAATGAACAATGAGTTCGTAGTTGCAAATGTAGCAGTGTCATAAAGGCATATAGCAAAGAGTCATACACTCCAGGTCTCTTTCCTATTGAAAATGAATGGCCCATCATGAACCAGACAATGATGAGCAGGAACTGTTTAGCAGCTACTCAGATTGGGAAAACATGTAGCTTGTAAAATTGTAACAGCATCTACAATACCCATATAATTGCATGTTGTAATTAAAAAGTAAGATGATGTGACGCAATGTTAAACATGCCTCTGTTACAATTTTTAGAGGGTGTTGCAGCCATTACAATCGAAATGTGTTGATTTGTAAGTAAAAATATTGGAAATCTTTAATCATATATTCTGTAACACTTTATTTTGATGGTCCATTTGTGTATTAGCAGATTACTCTCTGCTTAAAATCTGTTGATACTGACATTTAACAGTCCTTTAACAGAGATTTTACTGACTATAAGATACTTTGCAAGTACATGTCAACTTACACTAAACCTAACCCTAACCCTGAGCTAACAGTCCTCTTATAAAGTAATGAGAATTAGTACACTTACAAAAAAATAAACATTATTTTACAACTATATGTCTGTATTTTTTTTTTTACAGAATTTGAACAACATTTGAAGTTATTGCTTGTAATTTGGTACTATGTTATTTTTCTGCTTTTTAAAGGAAATTTTTATGTGTTTTTAGAGATTAACACGTAATTTTACGTTAATATTTACAGAATATTCCAGTAAAAATATGGAAAAAAATTCTGTCAAATTCTATTTAGTGACGATAGTAAACATATGAAGATTAACATGAGGTCAATAAAGTGAAATAATAGCCTATTGTTTGCAGCTGCTTATAATGCATGCACTGTAAGCTATGAAATGTTTATTTCACTACTCTAATAATGTTGCTATGTGAACTGTGACGATAATCAGTGATCAAATTGCTGCGGATCGCTGGAAAAGTACACACGTTACATTAATAAACTACAACTCCCAGCATGCACCTCGCACATGTGGGTTCCTAATTCTAACTGATTACACACAGTCAGAAGATTGTTATGGACTGATTTCAAGGACTAAACTCAGCACACACAGACACATTGTTGCTGAGTCTTAATCTGTTTAGTGAGCATTACGACGTGGTTTCCCTTACCTTGCCGTGTTTGACTCCTTTACTTTGTTATTTTGTTTGCCGCCTTTACGCTTGGAATTATCTGTGCACCTGTTTGTTCCTGTTTCAACCTTTAATTGCAAGATGATTCTGTTTATAAACTGCTATTTGATCCTCAACTTTGTTGTGTAGGCATCCTCACATGACACTAATCTTGTTTTTGGTGTTAAACAATGATTAAATGTGTTATTTGTAAAAAAAAAAAAAAAAAAGAAGAAGAAGAAGAAAGAAATAAAAACTACACTATTTCATTTTACTATGATCTTTTATGTCAAGTTGCTTTGACACAATCTACATTGTTAAAGCGTTATACAAACAAAGGTGAATTGTATTGAATTGTTTTATAACAACTGCAATTATTTGTACCTTTTTTTAAGCTTTTTTAAAAATCATTCTTTAATTTTTTTTTTCAGTTTTAAAAGTATCTTAAAAATGAAAAGTTTCATAAAATATTTAGAGATTTCAAGCATAATTACATAAATTAATTTGTATAATTACATTAATAACCTGCATAATTACAATAATTATCCCTATAATCACATTAATTAATATGCATAATTACAGTAATAGTCCTTATAATCACATTAATTAATTTGTATAATTACAGTAATAACCTGAATAATTACAGTAATAATCCTTATAATCACATAAATTAATCTGTATAATTACAGTAATAACCTGAATAATTACAGTAATAATCCTTATAATCACATAAATTAATCTGTATAAGTACAGTAATAACCTGAATAATTACAGCAATAATCCTTATAATCACAATAATTAATCTGTATAAGTACAGTAATAACCTGGATAATTACAGCAATAATCCTTATAATCTATGAAATGAAAATCTATGAAATCTATGAAATGTTTATTTCACTACTCTAATAATGTTGCTATGTGAACTGTGACGATAATCAGTGATCAAATTGCTGCGGATCGCTGGAAAAGTACACACGTTACATTAATAAACTACAACTCCCAGCATGCACCTCGCACATGTGGGTTCCTAATTCTAACTGATTACACACAGTCAGAAGATTGTTATGGACTGATTTCAAGGACTAAACTCAGCACACACAGACACATTGTTGCTGAGTCTTAATCTGTTTAGTGAGCATTACGACGTGGTTTCCCTTACCTTGCCGTGTTTGACTCCTTTACTTTGTTATTTTGTTTGCCGCCTTTACGCTTGGAATTATCTGTGCACCTGTTTGTTCCTGTTTCAACCTTTAATTGCAAGATGATTCTGTTTATAAACTGCTATTTGATCCTCAACTTTGTTGTGTAGGCATCCTCACATGACACTAATCTTGTTTTTGGTGTTAAACAATGATTAAATGTGTTATTTGTAAAAAAAAAAAAAAAAAAGAAGAAGAAGAAGAAAGAAATAAAAACTACACTATTTCATTTTACTATGATCTTTTATGTCAAGTTGCTTTGACA